CAGCTGGCAATCTTCGTGAGAGGAGACTATAACCAGAGAGCATTCCATGTGTCGCCGGAAAGAGATTCACTGGTGGCTAAAGTCAAGGAGGCGTTTGAGCAGTTGGCCCACGCTTCCACGACAGCCCTGGAGCATGTGTCAACGCTTCAATCAGAGGTATGCCTACGCCAAAGGGGCCATAAAACCAGGTTCACTGACAAAACGGACCTAGAATGTCGACCTCTTGTCCTCAAAGATGCACGTATTTCAACAACGCGTCAAAGCAGCTCATTGGGAGACGGTCACAAAGGTTGCTGGTTACAAGAATGCGGTAAGCGAGGCCAGTAAGGCAGTGGACAAGGAAGAAAATGCAGTTAGACAAGCCAGGAGTAGTCTGGAAACACTGCTGGAGAAGCTTAACGACGCTCGGAAAACTGGCGATGTGGTTGACGGTGTGGTCAGTATATCTTCTGTGTGATCAGGCCCAGTCCTTTAGACCAGGAATTAATATCTTGACCAGGTCAGCGCCATAATTCCCATCTGGGGGATAATCGGGCTCATCGACCATACAAAGTCTCCCGGCAGCGTCATTCTGGAAGGCCAGATTGGCGCTGCAAGACAAGCGGTCGATAGCGCTGAACATACCCTTGATTCCGCGCACCGAAACGCCCAGAAATCCCTAGAACTCTTGAACGGAGAGCAGCTCAAATTAGACCTGCAAACTGCCATGCTTGAGAGACTGGGGCCCCTCCAAAGCGCTATCCAGTCCGCCATTACGAAAGCGCAGGAACTAGAGAAAGGTTTAATTCAGATGAAGGGCAGCGCTACCGAGATGGTCCGTCGAATGAATAAGCTTAGCGGCCGAGCGGAGAATGGCGCAGAGCTCTCAGTCACGAAGGAGGAGTTTGTGAGCGGCATTCTGGATGTTGTGGAGCTCGCCATCGTGGAGCCCAATACAGCTAAACAAATTAAAATAATCCTGGCGGAATTGCGCAATTCGTGGGGCCCGTCTCCAATGCCTCCAGCGACCCAGTCCCGGCTTGATGAACTTGATGGCAAGGCGGCAAAGATTGCTGGTTGACATTGGGTTTCTTCTCTGTACCCCAAGCAAGGCGCACTCTTGTCTCCCATCAGGATGTTTAGTAGTATGCATATCCCAGTGTAGCATCGACGTGAGCAGTACCTTTTCGTCCAATCTATCGTCTGGTCATCTGCACAATGTAGATCGGGAAGTCCGGAGGAGGGGAGGGAGGCAGGGGCAGGAGGGCTTTCTGTGATCTGAAGAGCATGCTAGACCATGCAAATTTACAAATGCACTGAGGTAGGTGCAGGAGACTTCCCATGAAGTATGTCCTTTTCACGCACTAGAGTTTATATTTTATGCACTATCTATGTCATAACACTTAGTGTTAGCAACTTACTGTTGTAGGTGGTGCATGTTACCCTCTTTATTTATGTTTTTAACAGTCTAAACTTTTTGCAAGGTCATAGTTCCATTGTCCATTCTTTCCAACCCATATTATTCTTACTAAATTCCTAGCATTACTAGGTCTGATGCATCCTCAGTCATTATATATAATGAAAAAGAAGTAGCGAAGCTACAATTTCACAGGTGCAGAATAAATTGGGCCATGTGGCAAAATATATTGGCACAATTAGCCAATGAAGACCAGTAAGCAACTATCGCTCAAACTGGTTTTTGTCGGCCAACCGATGGGTGATCGACAAAAAAACTGGATTCAAAGGAAAATACAACTTGTTTGGACAATTGGTTACACAGCGTGAGATCGCAGTAACATCAGAATGGAACTACCTTTTTTCCAGGTTGGAGAAATCAATGTAGAGAACCGTGCTTTGGCTTTCCTGAATGATGAGTTCCAGCTGGATGTTTGCAGACTCCAGTGGCAATCAAAGCCGCCACACTGATGTTTTGTTTTTGCTTGGTACACTTTGTACTGCAGCATTGATGCATAGGTCAGCTCAGTCCTGTTTCACAACATCTAAACAGCATCAACCAATCCATCTCCAGGAGAGCACAGCAAGTGGATACGTTCCATCAGTCAAATCACAGAGAACGTGGGTCGTTTTTTAACTTTGGGATGTGGACCAACAAAACTAGCTAGCACCCATGCTGTCTATGACGTCATGCTATGGATTATCCAATTGCCCACCTGTAACGCGCTGTACTCCAAATATCCTTGACCCCGTTCATGTTTACCACTTTAAGATGGGTCATTTCTGATATGCCCCATGTGCGGGGTTAGGCAACCAGCGTCTTAGCTCTTAGCTTTCGGACCGTTCCGTCATTCCCGCACCTGAAATCTACCTAAGTAGTGTTCCGGTCTTCTGCATACATGAGGCAGTAGTTTTACCACGAATGAAATCAAGAAAGAACACAAAGAAAGCCCAAAGCTTGACAGGCCGTATACCCCTGAAGTAAAGAAAAAATGTAGGCAGCCATTGTTTACTGCAGCCTTGGATATCGTGGCTGGGGATCATAAGTATGTAACTTTTGGTTTAAGTTTATAAAGTTTATACTTCTTAGTAAAAGGATTGTATCCATTGTTCGGCTGGCGATTCCTCTGACTTGTCCCAGAATTCAGAATATTCTTTTCACTCCATTGAGGAAACCAGAAGGAAAGTAAGAATCACAAAATCATGTGGCCATCATGCCGCACACAGCAAAGTGTCATGAAAAAATACTTCGTATATCACTGCCATATTTGTGAATGCGATCAGCGGAGAAGTGTGCGCAAATAATCTTTAGTATCACACCATATATTCCGTTTCTCTCCTACTCCTAGCACATACGACCATAGGGTGTGGAAAACAGGGCTTCCCGTCCGCTCAGCCGTACTTAAGCCACACGCCGGCCGGTTAGTAGTTGGGTGGGTGACCACCAGCGAATCCCGGCTGTTGTATGTTTTTGTTTTTTAACTTGCTGTGTTCGTTTGTGTCCTTGCAGTCTCTTCTTCACCCTGTTCGCCCCTATTCACACTATTCCTTCCTTATGATCAGGTTAGGTATATATCTAATAAAACTTAACAAATACTTCCACAGCAGGCATGGTCCTCATCATGTCCTCCTCCTGCCGCACAATCCTGGCTGAGCTCAACGCAAGTCTCATACGCGAAGCCTGGTCAACATGCGAGCAGATCCTCACGTCCATGAGTTCCCTTAGCATATCTGCGCGCAACACCCTGCTCTTCCTCAGGACGGCCTGGACTCAGGTCATAGCGGAGAATGGCAGTCATATAGATAGCGATCGCAATCAGGCCCAATAGGAACAGAGACAGGGACAGTTGCACCTTCTGGAGAACCCATTTATGGATGCAAATAGACCTTTTCTGAGCCAGTCAGATGCATCTATGGGATTCTAGTCTCTCTAAGATAATTATGCTAAAGACGTCCGCTGCTGAGGATTATGAAGACTGTCTCCATGACCTTCCTGTGCTTGAGTGCAGGTGGGCAGTGTACAGCATTAATTCTGACGACTGTGATGCTCACACGCAGAGAAAACTCGTTTTATCTCACGGTATGCTTCCAGATGGGCATAGGAATGCCCACAGCAGTACATCTAACTTATCTATTCGTAGGTTACCGTGCGATGCAAAAATAAAGTCTACAATATTGTATGCTGCATCAACTCATGCACTGCGGATCTCTCTTAGTGGCCTAAAAGACCTGCTTGACAGACTGAACTCGAGAAGAATGCATAACGTGACGCAACAAGGCTAATAGATAACTATTTATAATGTCTGTGTACAGGCCGCCGGAGCGTCCACAAGGCGTCGAAGGGGTTTGATTCCAAGGCCCCTCTATATACACAATAACATGCTATGGAGTTCAAGAACAAGCGATCCGATATATATTGGCAATTCGTTGGACCGGTAATATCTCCAAGGGAATTTAGTACTCAGTAACACGTAGCCCATCCTTCCAGAAGGTAAAGTATGGAGTACAACCGTCCTCGCGTTAGCAACCATGCCCTTCTGGTTCTTGCTCTGGCCGGTATAAAACTTGCAGTTACCAAAATCAGCGACAATAATCGAAGCGCGCGCTTGTATTTCCTTCTTGAATACCTCAGCTCTAGCAGGGTTTGTGTCTTTTAGGTGAATTTTGAGCTCCTCCATATATCCTAAAATTATTAGTAGTGGCCGCAAACGCTGAATAGTAGATAATTACCCTTTAGATGAGTGACATTTTTTTTTATAGAAGGAGATGGGTTGCAAATTGAACAATCTTACTATATTATTTACAAGGTCTTGCTCTTCTTCGATAGGGTCGTCGTCGTCGTCGTGAATAGCCAAGTGTCTAATTAGTCTTCGTTCATTCCAATTAAATAAGTAATACTCTTGGTGAATATCAACAGACCTAGCAGGACGCAATCTACTTCGAAAATAACTTCGTCTATCTGTTTGACTGGATAGACACCTGAGAGCACCTCGTCGCCGGTGATAACATCCTCCCAGTTATTAGCGAGCAAGATCTTATTTTCAGAAAAGATAGTTGCCATACTTCCCATACTCTCATGATGGTTGAAGGAAATAACCACAAGTATGCACAGGACAAATCAAGGTGGCGCTGAGAATATATAGTATACCGACCTGGTATGCCATGACGCGGTTAACCATGATCCGATCAGGATCAAGGGCAATCCAGAGGTAACACAAGAGCAATAACAGTAAATATAGAAGCAAGGCTTATTGAGTAGGTATACTCAATAGTAGAAAGTAACTGACGAATCCGGACACAAGTGGGGTATTGATATCTAATGCGAGGGACTAAACTAAGTGTGCTACCTCGAGTTGTAAATGTTTATTTCAGAGGAAGATTGATTGTTGCTATTCACACCTGGAGTTATGAAAGGCTTATATAGAGGTTGAATATCAGATTGTTTTCCAACCGATCTGATCCGATACGAAACAAATTCCGTCTCCGAAGCTCTATTGTCCACTTGATTGAGCCTCGATACGCCACACAATGTCCTGGATTCGAACTGATCTCATTAGCAACACACCCTATCGCTGGTCTTCCATCTGTAAAGGGATTCCCGAAACATCCCACAAGGTTCCATCTGCGGCGCGGTTCCGAACCCATTCTTGACACAATGGAATATGGTCGTCAGGCCTATCAGGAGGGACAGGTACCTGGCAATATACCAGCAACGGCTCGAAGTGGGGTATTTTTCTAATAGTTTCACAACGAGTATACCCTAGACGCCATATCTGACCCAAAAGACCCATATGCCATCCAGAAAGAGCGGTCACTATGTTGGATTGGTCGCTCCCTTCAGCATCGATAATTACCACCTTTTTCAAAGACGGCAGCCGCCGCGTAAGGCATAATTCCTGACGTACGGGCTCTGTCAGACCGTCCGGCCGGGTAAGGACAAGATGCGACAGGTTCGAGCAGCGCTTGAGGCCCTCGATAAATTCAGACGATGTCACATCTGCGTTGTACAGAGCAAGGCGTCGGAGGTTTGGCCAGGTCGACCATACTGCTGGTTCAGAACTCTCTTCCATTGTAGCGCAGAATAATTCGTCTTGCGCGGAACAGAAATCCTCTAGATGGACCAAGCGTAAAAATACAGACCGTAGTATCGGACGGACCTCCTGATGATCGTCTTCAGGGTATAAGGAACGCAGTGGGATATCAATGACTAAACATCGAAGGCTGCCACAGATGCTGGAGGACAATTGATCCAGGTGCTTGGCGACGACGGGATCATCGAGTTCATCGTCAGGGAATGGCGACAGAAAAAGGCCGATCGGTGAAAATACTTGCAAAGGCCCTTTCGGACCGCCTTTCAAATTGATGAGATTGTCCAGTCGCTTGTTCGAATCTATCCACAGGCAGTACCTAAAGAGTAGTTCCCTCGCGATATGATACGTGAATCTGGATGCGAGGGTGAGGCTGATCAAAGTGCGTGTCACTGGGTGCCACGGGGGAAAAGAAACTGGTAGGCTAGGTGGGATCAGCAGCTTGATGGTATGTAATATCAGCTCGTTCGGAAGCTGGGGCATTTTTGAAACGGTATGCGATGATAGGAAATCCATCGGCTTTAAAGACAGGTTGGGGGCCGAAACGGAGAAGGAAGAGGCAGACGAGAAGGATTATGCGCAGAAAGGTGTTGATAGATTGTACGGTGGCCATAGTCGGAACCAGTCAGCAGTACTCCTCAATTACCAATGCCAAGCTAAACCCCGGGTCCCTGGGAGCCTCTCTTTTGCGTCTTCCAAGTGGATAGTACATTGACAGAAAATAAGAAACAGCTTCCTGATTAACACTCACCCTAACGCTTAGACTTACTGACTTATTCAATTTCATTTTGCCTCTCTCTTTTGCAAGGTTCCCTGACGCTAACTGTAACTCTTACTGTCTGTGTCAGGCATTCCTATGAGCGAAGAGTGGGATATAATGTGCCCTTACTCTACTGGAGTTACTTCTCTCTCCTCGCCTGCTACCTACGAGTCCAATTAACCTGCCTGTGGACCTATATATAGGTGGTCGGTCGCTGGCATACTTGACAAGTGGGTAGTAGCCATCCTTAATGTCACCCCGCGGACCAAACTAGGCGTCTCGGGTCCCTATGGACAGGTTAGTCATTACCCCGATCGCTGGTGGGTCGGGCTGGACCTTGGCTAATCACTCTTGCCCTTCTGATCACTCACCCTGGCTGAAAATGGAGCAAAGACGTAATCAGCCGATTGATGATACCTCCGCTCAGCAGTGCGTAGCAATCATGAGCGGTAATACGGCCATCACAACTCATGTATTAAAAAGGGAGGCTTCCGGTCTATGACAGGTTTCATCCACCTGATTCACTTAAGAGAAACCTCAAACCTTAAAGCAAAACATATTTTCGTCTCAATTTCTGATCAACGCAATATGACGGCCTCCAAACTTCTAGTCGTGATCGGCATCACTGGCAACCAAGGATCTTCTGTTGCGAGTGCCTTTCTCAAGCTTCCAGACTGGCGCATTCGTGGCATCAGCCGCGACATATCTTCAGCGGCTGCCCAACAATGGATTTCAAAAGGCGTCGAACTTGTGAAAGCAGACCTTGATGACATCGACTCCCTCGAGAATGCCTTTCGCGGCGCCTCTACAATTTTCGCAGTCACCGACTTCTACAGCCTTATGCTCGATCCTGCCAATCTTGCCGCCGCACAACAAGCCGGAGTTACCCCCAATGAATATGCCTGCAATCTCGAGACCAAGCGGGGCATGAACATAGCCACCGCTGCGAATTCTCCTTCCGTTTCGGCCACACTCACGCATTTCGTCTTCAGCAGCCTGAGCGATACCAAGCACTGGTCGCACGGCAAGTACACTTGGAACTACCACTTTGATGGCAAAGCGGCAGTCGTGAAAAGAATCAAGAAGGAGCTGCCTGGTTTGGCTGAGAAGTTGAGCATTATCCAGGTTTGAATGTATGCAAGCAACTGGAAGGAGGGCATGGGACGGCCTCAGAAGCAAAAAGACGGAGCATTCGTTGTGCAAATCCCAGATATAGGGGAGGTTCAGCTTCCATGGATTTATGTTGATCGCGACGTTGGTATCTTCGTGGAGGCGCTGCTGGCAACTTCTCCAGGAAAGCAGATTCTAGGAGTCTCTCAATTGGCCTCTTGGCGTGAATTTTGGACACTTTGGGCGGAGACCCGGGGCGTCAAGCTCGAGATTCAAGTGGTCGGTGTGGAAGAGTTTTTCCAATCCTTGCCGGTGATTTTAAGGAGAGAATTCCAAGAATCCTTGAGATACATCGTGGAATTCGGATACACGGGCGGCGATTCAGATGTGTGTTGCAATTTACAGGATGTGTTGCCTGGGGCCAAGACGGCCACGTTGAAGGAGTACATGGAAAGTGAAGATTGGTCCATACTTGACTGATTGATTGATACCTACATTTCATCAGGCAGTCTGTGTACGACTACCTCTAGACAGCTTGGGTATCTAACAGCGTCATCGACCCCCGTCGCCTTATACTCCATGATAGCCAGTACTGTTTGAAATCCCGTGTGGCTTTGAAGTACCTGATTTAGTTCACCATTCTGAAACAGCATCAGGGTACGATATGGCTATTCTAAGGCTTGCCATTCCAAGGGGTATCTGAGGATCTTTAGACGCGTTCAGCTATCTATTTTCTCAACTGAGCATGATTAGCTTGGGCTAACGCAAAGCCTGACCCAACAAAAAGCCATCAAGCGCTAGATTTTACAAATGATAACTTTGGTTTAATCTCCACAAGAACTCAAGGGAATTGAATGCATAGGAAATAGGTCGAAGAACCAGAGAAAGCCCTCAAAGTACTGGAAAGCTACCCATACCCATAAACCCCTATTGAAGCGACTGCCTGATTTGAAGATGGCCAGTTGTCCTAGTCTAGGAATCGGCGTAATCAACTTGCCCGACTTTCTTCCTAGGGACTTTGACTAGGCCGAGGCATTGACCTCGTAGGGCTCTATGGAGGTGCTCAGTCATATCGGCGAGATGGGGAATAGCATTTTGTACCTCACTAATCTGAACCTTGGTAAATGCAAAGCATGTCACCGAGTTGCGAGATGAAAGAAGAGATAGACCACGTACCAGAATTCAGTCATAGCTCTGCCCCGCTCCACCGAAGCCGACTTTCCGGTTCTCGGGTTGCTTAGTTATCTACTATCTACCGGTGGGCCAAAATGCTCAGGATGAAACAACACGCATTGGATTAGATCAAGTTCAGCCTGTGGTTAGTAATCAGCAAACCATATTGCGCTCATTATCTTTGGAAGAACCGAAAACCGGCCCCTTGGATGAGCGGCCTCGGCTGCCTCATCTTCTCATGACAGTATCAAAAGATAAACTCCGAAAGTCAAACCCAGAGAGTCTCTGGGTCCTGGTCGAGCAGGATCCCCCACGGGGTTTATGCGGGGCCTGGGGATTCGCTCGCAATCTGAAATTCGGCCCCAGAGTACCGAAAAGCAGTCCAACCTCGGGCACCCTTCGCATGCGACTTGAGAACTTTCTGATCCACGCTAGCCGCAAGAGGTACCAGCAAGCCGATTTGTCAACCTGTATAAAACTTTCTGAGCACTTTTAAGTAGCATCGATACCTGCTGCTACTGAAACTTTTGGAATTTCTGCCCGAAAAATCTCCCATCCATTCAAAGGTAGACTTCACCACAAGCCCCCCTTCTGCAGGAACAATCCTCCTCTTCATAAACCGTACACGCAACGGTACGCCTATCCAGTTATCAGAGCTACAATTCAACTCTATGATGAGAGCATTTCAATTTGCCGATGTCTCGAAGGGACTTCAACTCAGGGATGTCCCAATTCCCAAGCCTGGGAAGGGCCAAGTGCTCGTTCAAGTTCTAGCCACTGGTCTCTGCCACACCGACTGCAATGTGATTTCCGGCAAGGACGATATGCTCTTGTCGAAACGGCCTGTTACGCTGGGTCATGAGATTGCGGGGGTCATTGTTGAGCTCGGACCAGATGTCACCGATTTCAGTATCGACGAACGAATTGTCTCTGCCATAGCGATCAGCCATCCTGTGACGCTGCAAGAGGTTTTGACAACAGCCGGCATTGGCTACGACGGTGGCTATGCAGAATATGTTGTCATCAACATCGAAAAGGCAGTACGAATCCCAGATATTGTCACTTTTGCTCAAGCTGCTGTGGCTACCGATGCTGTCGCCACTGCCTACCATGCTGTTGTTGTCGAAGCCCAGGCGTCGCCATCTTCAACCATTGCTATCATAGGCCTGGGTGGCCTGGGTCTTTCAGGAGTCCAACTTGCGTCCTACATGGGTGCGAAAGTGTATGGGATCGATACCAGCGTCAACAAATACCTCCCTGCTCTAGAATTTGGGGCATTGGTTTGCGTCAAAAGCCTCGACAAGCTGCCTGGAATTAAATTCGATGCAGTTGTGGATTTTGCAGGCACAGGCACCACTACTGCAGCTGCTGTGACTGCTGTGAAGCCCGGAGGACGAATTGTTCTTGTTGGGCTCGCAGCTAAAGAGGCAACATTGAACACTTACGAGCTGGTAGCTAGAGGGGTTTCCCTCACAGGCTCTGCAGGTTCGTCGGTTGATGAGGTAGCCAAGGTGCTTGACCTGATTGCCGATGGGAAGATTCAGCCACTTTTGGAAGAGATTCCATTTGCGGATATTGCTACGGGGCTGGATAGGCTCAGTAAGGGTAATACACTTGGCCGATTGTATGCTAACCCAAGCAAAGCCTGAAGGTTTATCCGATTAGACTCATGATTGTTCATGATCTTAAGACATACTAAGAATTAAGCCCTCATCGTTCTGGTACTGAAGCGTCACTTCCAAGTTGACTTTAGCAAAGTTAGACTTTTTTGAAAACCTGGCCAACTGCGAGCACACGAGAACTCATAATGAGCAGCATTTCCCACGCCTTGGCCCAAGATCCACTAGACTGAGAGTGGGAATCCGCGCAGTTTTTAGTATAAGCTTCAGTAGTGGCCAAGGGAATTGGTCGAAAGATCGCGCTGTGAGATTGTAGTCAATGCGAGCGCGTCGTGACGAAGTTGGTCAAACCAAACCCAGCCCTCTCGCTCACGGAACAACCTAGTCGATCGATGATGTCCGTCTAGATGCGACCGTGTACCGTCAGAATTCCAATACTCAGAAATTATCTACCACTACCGGCGCTCTGTCGGCTTGGACGCATGATGTGACAAATGATATTGCAAAATTTCCCATTGCTTCTTGTAGGCTCACAGGCAAACACTTCTTGCTTCTCAGACGTCTAATCTCAATGTCAAACTGAGTGGGGAGAAAGCATCAAATTCAAATCATTTCATGAGGCAAGAATATATGAAGCTTAGAACACCAACAGAGCATCAAGTTCCTCCAAGGAAACCCAGGGGTGTTTCGCTGTGCATCTCAACTTCGTAGACTCTGGAGAAACATTAAGATCACCTGATTCAAGCTTTGAATGAACTATTATAGGCGAAACGCTCAACCTCTTCGTCCGTGCATAGGTATGTCTTGGGTTTTGCATCCAATTTTCAGTGTGTATGCGACTGGGCAGAGCAATCAGCTCCGTGAGGGATGTTGATGGTCTTGTCTGGCTGCAAGTGTCTCCACAATCGATCATCTCCACGGACTCCGGGATATTCGGATTGCGGATAGCTCCCGTGGGAGGTATAAGTCGTACTATCTCGGACAGTAGCGAATGCATCACGCTCCAACGCGGTACGTTATCGTCCACACCGCTGGGTGAGGAGAGTCGGAGTGTGGGGTGAGGATTTCTGCCAGCATACTTCGACGTATGCGCGGTGGATGCACTGCATAATGTGCAATTATATCAGCAAGCCGCAGTAGTTATATCGAATTGACTTCCATGACATAGAAGACAAGAAACTTAGTGATACCGTGCTCGACGTGGCAGGCAGACCTGGTCCACTCTGGTGCAGTATGTACAACGATGGCGCTCAGTGTAGACGCAACGTATCTTCCGAACATGGCATGTTTGACAAGCTGACATCTTGATTGAATACGAATGATGGAAACTTGAGTCCTCCCATGAAAGGAGATCTTTAAGCTGTGGGAATGCCGATAAATTTAGATCTATAGCCCAGTCGAAAGGTATCCGGCAATTGTTCTGGATGCACCTGAGGTGGCATCAATATGAGCTGGTGGAAGAGAAAACTGAATATGGCAAATAAAGTTCTTTAAGAGACGAACAACAATAACATGCACTCAGTTGCTCGTCCATCCCATGTCTACTTTCGCAAGCTCCCATTTGTGATGGCCGAAACCCAAATTCTCTCGGACACTTACGTGTCCCATTGACGATAAAACCCATCAAGTGGCATGACTGTATCCGCATTCGCACTTATCTTACCCTATCAATCTCGTAGCAACGAGCCTCGGCTGAACTAGGGAGAGATCACTCACATCCGCTCCATGAATGTAATGCTCCACGTAATCCCTGATGCTCGAATAGCCTACAGATTAGATCCGAGTGAGCACAAAATAATAGAATTTGTAATCGACTCTCGGGTCATTCTCGGGTACCTCAGACTACTTTGTAGGCGCTTATAGTGGGTCCACATAGTTGAAGGTTTCTCAGCTGCCGCAGTGATCACTAACAGCGTCCGAGGATCAGGGAAGTGTCTCCACGGGCCTTGCCACAGTTGTTTTTCCTACTTAAAATGCTTCCATACTCACAATTGTAATTATTTTTCTACTCATCATCTTGTCATTCTTATCATATTATCACCCCATCATGTCTAATCAGAAGGCCGTCATCGTGACCCAGCCCAAGACGGCGGGCTTGGTCACTGACCGCGCTATTCCCAAACTCCGTGATGATTACGTTCTCGTGAAGACAGTCAGCGTGGGTTTGAACCCAAGCGACTGGAAGCACGTGGATTTCCTCTCTCCTCCCGGCGTCCTGTTGGGAATTGATTACTCTGGCATTGTCGAGGCCGTTGGCAAAGACGTCAAGCTACCCTGGAAAAAGGGAGACCGTATCTGCGGTTTCGCCCACGGTGGTAATGCGGTGCAAGCCGAGGATGGGGCTTTCGCCGAATATATTGTCGTCAAGGGTGATGTGCAGCTCCGAATTCCTGAACATCTAAGCTTTCAGGAAGCCGCTACGCTCGGAGCAGGCATTCAGACTATCGGCCAGACATTATACCAGACTCTAGGTCTAGCTCTACCGAGTCAACCTATCAAAGATGCGACTCCTATTCTTATATATGGCGGTTCTACCGCTACGGGCACCCTCGCGATTCAGTTCGCTAAGCTCTCCGGTTATCAGGTGCTCACTACCTGTTCGCCGCACAACTTCGACCTTGTCCGTGCCCTTGGCGCTGATGCTGTCTTTGATTACAAGGACCCTGAGTCCGCCGCTCAGATTCGCAA